TGTGACTGTTACCTATGAGAACATAAACGTTTGTATATAATTAGTTGAAACCCTACAGTTTTTCGCTTTTGATATCTGTAGGGTGACGAAACACTCTGTTTCGCCAAGGATCTTGTGTTCAGAGAAGCGGGATTTCAATTCCCCTGGACTGAGTAGGTATGTTCCCAAGAAGTCTAGAGAGATCAGTGAAGATAGTCCTGAGAAGAATAAAAATGCTAGTAGATGGGATCATAGTGTATCAGGGTGTAAAGAGGCTAGGGAGGATATATATATGGATCTGCAAGAGAGAAACGATGCTAAAAGTTACATGAATGTGTCGTCTCTCGATGGCTCTAATGAAGGTGTTATGAGTTTGGAGAAAGGTATGACTGCTGGTAGATGGGAACATTGTGTACCTGGGTCTAAAGGTAACTTCATAGAGGCTGGAGCTGGCGCGTACTCGCACCTGCAGGGTAAAAACAATGCTGGAACGTTCAGTAACGTGTCTTCTGATGACTCTGAAGAAGGTATTATGTAACAACTAAATCACTTGGGAGTCTCTCTATTTTGATTAAACTATGGAATTGAAAAGGATACTATTATGGATAACGAGGTTAAAAAGCTCCTTGCAGCCTTTATCATTTTCTAAGTGGCTTATTCATTTTAGAATTTCACTATCATCTCTAAAACTAAGCCTATTCAGGACATACTTTTCTGTGATTTTTTCTTTGCAGAGTTGGAAGAAAGCAGTGACGATGTTAGATCAACGAGACAACACAAACAAGCTTATGATGAAATCAAACTATATATGGATGCTGAGACTGCCAAGAGTAGCAAAGAAACCCAAGAGGCAGAGAACATGGCTATTCGTTATCTTGGTGTAAGGTTAGGCTTTTGCATCTTTGCGTTTGTGTAGTAGTAGCTTCAGTTTACAAATGTTGAATAAAAGATTTATTTAGTTTCCTCTTCTCTCTTCTATGCATGGCATCAGAGCATATACAGCAGTTGAGCTGAAGAAGAAGCTCATTGGAAAGAAATATCCTCTTGAAATCGTTGACAGAGTGATCAATGACTTTCAACATCGGTAAGATCCATCCATAAGCTGCATCAATATCCACTTTTATTTGACCCTTTTTTTTGTTTGTTTTGTGTTATTAGAGGTTTCATCAATGATAACTTCTATGCTGAAGCATTCACACGGTCTAGATGGTCTTCCTTAAGTTGGGGACCTAGACGGATCAAGCAAGTAAGTTTTTTTTTCCACTTTGCCATTCACATAGTTACAATCACATGATACTTAAGCAAAGTGGATACTTTAAATCTTGATCAGGCATTGTTTAAGAAAGGTGTAAGCAATGAAGACTCAGATGCAGCCATAAAGCTTGTTTTTCAGAAAGACACAGAACCGAGTCACGGGATGTCCAAGGAAGCTATGGATCAGCTATATGTTCAGGTGTCAAAGCGGTGGCTCCAAGGCAGAGACTTGCCTATAGAAAACCGCAAAGCTAGAGTTATAAGGTGGCTTCAATACAGGGGATTCAACTGGGGTGTTGTCTCTCAACTTATGAAGAGGCTTGAATCTCCACTGTCCTGAGTGAAGAGATCATTTTTTTTTACACTTTTATGGTCTTGGTCCTAGTTTTTCTATTTGTTTTGAGTTTCTTCCTAAGACCTTATATTTAAAGGTTCTTCCCAAGCCCATAGTTATTATTATCAATAAATTCACATTTGTAAGTTTCACTAGACTGAGATTGAATGTATTAATGTTTTCTCTTTTGGCCATAAGGTAATTGCATCAACAACTCTTTGTCAAAAACTTCTATTATATTAATCAAGTTAGATATTTAGAGTTTTGTCAATTTTCTTTAAAAGTTTGGAATGTTTATTCTGCATTTTTCATGTGTTTTGGTTGTTTATCATTCCAACTATCATGAAAAGACGATTCAATGTCATTTGTTTAATCGTTTTTTTGGTGTTTCTATTGATGTTGTATTTATTGTGTGGCAAAGGAGATGAGTTTGTGCTGATGTTGCAAACTTCACTTCCATTTCATCATTCTCTTGCAAAGTTTCATAAACTAAAAGTTAGATAAGATTTTCATCTTTCCGTAATGAAACTGTGGCATGCAGTGCGCAATAGCTGTACACTAGTCACTAAATTATACATAATGAAATGCAAGCTAATTATCATAAGATTTTTAAAGTTATGCACACAACATTAAATAGTATTTGATTGTTGTGAGTTCAGTAAGACCACTAAATCATAAACCAATTAAAATATTAATCATTTAGATTCTCATTTTCCATCTATCTACGAAAATATCTCCAAAAATGCGGTTAAAACGCCATAGATTGATATTACCTATTGAGGAAGTGTTATTGTGAAAAAGAGAACATTGCTGTTGTTATTTTGGATAGCTCAATCTAAAATAGTTGTATGGGATCTTGAAAATACTAAGATCTAACTTTTCTAACTCTTACATAAAAACGATGGCTTAACTTTCTCTAAAATATTAAAACATTTCAATAAACAAATATACTGATTATTTTTCCTATTCCATCATTGTTGAAGGAAGATTTTCAATCATATATATTCGAATGATGCTCTGATTCAGGTTAATTGTATACAACTGACTTAGCTTATGTAGATACAAACTGATCTAGCTTAAGATTGATGCTTGTTAATATCTAAACAGTTCATCATGTTCAATAAACTAACAAACTTGTGGCTTTTGTAGAAATAACCAAAATTACCTAGTTAGTTTAATTATGGCCGACAAAAAAAAAAATCAACACCAAATTTTTAGCCAATAGATTACATGATGTTTTTATCAATATACTTGGTCCAACAAACCTACAATATTTTTAAGTTATGGATGTGGAAGCTCACACAATTATCATCTATATATATAAAACTATAGTTGTAAATTGGATGTGACATGATATTGAATGAAAAAGATGTATAAATCATTTTTTTTTTCCAAAGTATTATCACATAAGAGTCAATCTACAGATCTCATTAACATCAATATATTTTTTCGACAATGATACCTTCTATAACAAAGACATTCCCTTTGATATTCCATGAGAGACAAATTTCTCCATGTTAGAATTTGATCTTGTTTAAGTATAATCTACACAACTACATTTGGAAGAATGGTCATGACATGATTGCTTGCAGTTACAATAAAATACTGTAGAAATGGATAGAGATTATTCCTTTTAATGATCCTAACACAAAAAATTGAATGGGGTATATTTGGCAAGCCCTAATCGTCCTTGTTAAAACGGCACGAATTACAAACTAACCCGATTTAGAAAAACGGCACAACGTCTAAAGCGGCTACCGAAAAACGATGTCGTTTGGTGTGTAATAAAGGTTTCCTTTTTCTTCTTCTTCTTCGCACTTTCTCTGAGACGAGACGCGAGAAGCCTTCCTTCCTCTGTATTACTTTTCCGCTTAAAAAAAACGAAGGCTATTATCGTCTTTATCTGATGGGGAAGAGGAAAGAGCGTCGCTTCGCGGCTAATAATACGAGTCGTCGTGTCAAGCTTGATCTCTTCGCGGAACCCTCTGGTATTATGCTTTTTTTTTAAGCTCTTTTGATTGATTGGTTCAACGGTGTCGTTTGGAATATAACCAATAAGTATTTATATTTTTGTAAAAGGATTTGAATTTATTAGAATGGTGGATTTGTAGAAGCAATCAATCACTGTTCGTTCTTAGGGATTCGAAATCTGAAGCTTAGTTAATGAAGATTTAAGATTGTGATCACCTATTTATAGATTCTTTTAGGAGTTTTTTAAGATTGTTATCTCTGTCTTTGATATTATGTAGGAGATTTGGGTGGCTCAGATGTGCATTGTGATGGAGTTGAGGAGAAAAAGACAGAGACTAATGAGTTACCTAAGTCACCTTCCTCTTCAGGTGGGTTCCATCAGCTATCTTCAACTCTAGCCTTGGCCTCACTCTATTAAGTGCTCCACTTCTTATTCTGTTCCAATCCAACACACATGTTATGTTGTTTTCGCTCGAAAAATTTGTAGAGAGGTGGCTGTGGTCTTGGAGACATAGTAAGACATCAGTTCAGGCCAAGCCACGGTGTTATTTATGAATGAGTTACTCTATTTTTGCAGCTTTCAAGCTTAGTGGGGACTACTTTCTTCTGAGATATAGCTTCTTGCGGTTTGTATGTCTCTGGCTGTTTTTGGCTTGCAACGGTTTTAACTGACGGCTTTTGTCATTTTACTGTGACAGGTCGCTGATAAATTCTTCCCCAGACGCTATTCTTCATCATTTTTTTACTTTCTAATGCAACCTAAAATATACCATGTCTATTATATTTATAAGTTTATATAACTGAAGGCTAGTTAGTTAGTTAGTTAGTTATGTAGTGTGTTTCAAGATTTTGACGCTTTAGTCTTTTTATTTTCAGGGAAGAAAACAGAGAACCCTTTGCTTTTACTTGGACAATATAGTGACGAGGAGGTGGAAGAGGAGGAGAAGGACAAGGCAGATGATGATGCTGCTGCCGATAGTTCTTTAGCCAATAAAAATGAACAGGTAACAGTAAGTAACTTATATATATATCGGCTTTACTGATGTTATCTTTGTTAGCCCTAATTAATTCTATATGAACCAGGTTGATGGACACAAGGATACAAGTATCAAGTCGAGTGGAGACACCACTATTCAGATAGTTAACCAACAGCAAACAGGGGAGGATTCTTCTGCTTCTTATTTTAAGGCCGAAGGGGGAAGTGGTTATGTCACAGCCAGTAACTCGACAGCCTCAGATGGACTAAACACGCAGAAAGATCCCTCAGTCCAAGCTTCTGCCACCGTGTCTTTGGAGTATCATGCTCCCACGGATGTTACTTCCCAGTGGAAGATGATTTTGCATGAGGAGAGCAATCAGTATTACTACTGGAACACACTTACTGGGGAAACTTCGTGGGAAGTTCCTGCGGTTTTGACGCAAACTGCTACGGCATATGGAACTGGATACAATGAGTCTGGGCATATGGTTGCAGAGGCATACAATTTGAGTTCTGGTGTTGAACCAAGCTATTTGCAGCAACCCGTGGAAAATATGTACACAGGAACTGATTGTTCGATCTCTGTAACAGCTGAGCTTGGTGAGAGAAACAAAAGTGAAGATCATTATGCCAAAAGCTTAGGAACTGATGCTCATCAAGTTGAATGTCAGATAGACCCTGCTGTTAATTACCAACCATGTCAGGAGGAGCTTGCAGGACCAGGAGGATCAGATCATCTGCAGACTACTTTTGATCAAAAAGCGGCTACTGACCTCCCATCTCGCCTGTTGAGCCAAAGCGAAGGCTTATTGGAAAAGCTGAGGTCTCTGAAGAAGTAAGTCATTCTTGTTTCTTTCTTCTCCTTTATCTTAATTGTAATATGTGATTCTCTAATTTCTAAAATTGTGTAGGTCTCATGGGAACTTTCACAGCACTGAGAAGATATCAAAGTACATATTGGAGCTTGAAGTGAGACATTCTGATGTAAAGGCGCTATTAAACGAGACCTCACCTTTACTTTCCTTTTGGCTCCACACTGAGAAAGAACTCAAGCGTCTGGAAGAGGGTGTTAACGATGAGATTTACGAACTTGCAAAATCTGCAGTAATGGATGGAATTGCAGAGACTAACAAGAGCTCTTCCAAAGAAAAATTGGCAGCAGATGATAATACGGCAAGTGAAGAAGGAGAGTTGGCTCAACCTGAAAAAATTCTTCATTCAGATGAATCAGTGGGTGGTGATGGATCTCCCACCCACTCCCAAACCAATCCAGCTGAGCAGTCTGATAACGTTACTCCTCCTTTAGATGAGATTCAAAAGGTAGACTCCTCAGTTGTGGAAGATATTGACATGGACGTGGATATGGAGGTTGAAGAATCAGTTCCAGCGTCTCCTGCTCAAGTGATAGATGCTTCCGATGGTAAGATGTTCAGTCAAACAGAGCCATCCAACTTTCACGAAGATGTTCCACCACCTCCGGGGGAAGAATGGATTCCACCACCACCTTCAGAGATTGAAGATGTTCCACCACCGCCACCAGATAGTTTTAGTGAACCAGTTCCTCCACCACCTTCTGAAAATGATCATGTCCTTCAAGCCTTGTCCAGTGACTCTGTGGGAGTTCCCTACACCGTACCTCAATCTTATATGCAGCAACCTGCTGATTATGCTGCACAATACAACTTATCCTATCCAGAGTCAAATTACCAATATATAGCCAATTCTGCTGCTCCTAACCCTCAGTTCTATGGCCATGTCGACGGATCTCAAGTCTCTTTGCCCCAGTCGGCATATTACTATGAAACTGTTCCTGGTACAAGTGAAGTTACTCCTGTTGAAGCATATTACAATCTCAATGGAGTAGCTCCGCTGTTTCCAGTCTCTGCGGAGTCAACACTGAATCACGTTGGAGTTGGTTCTGCTAATTACAACATCCCAAGCGATTCTTCTAAAGCTGTAGAGACTAGCTCCAAATCCAATGACTCTACTGACGTAGCATCTTTAAGCACCGCTGCTCAGTCCACAGATGGAACTGGTGGATCGTCTGTATTAGCAAAGGGTCAATCTAAAGGTATATTGATCTTTCGACTCACCTTATGTTCTTCTCTAATCGCGTTTCATTGTTTTGGGCGTGCTCTGAGTTTTTGTCATTGGCTTCAATTTGGTAACAGTGAAACGGACTAAAAAGAGGACAGTTGCTGCTACTACATCCACATTGAGGTCAAATAAAAAGGTTTCTAGTTTGGTGGACAAGGTACGTTGTTTATTTCTCTTTAATCTCCTCTCACAGACATACGCTTCTCCTAGATTTTCTCAACTCTAACACTTAAATGCCTTCTCTCTTCACTGGTGCTCAGTGGAAAGCTGCAAAAGAGGAGCTAAACGATAGTGAAGAAGAGGAAGAAGAAGATGATTATGGGATCCTTGATAGAAAAAGACGACGAGAAATAGAAGAATGGAAATCAAGACAGATTGCGAGTGGGGAGGCTAAAGACAATGCTAACTTCCAACCCCTCGGTGGTGACTGGTTAGTACGGCAAACTTCATTGTTCACCTCCATTATGAAAATATACTTAATGTGGTTAACATTGTGTTTAGGCGTGAGAAAGTAAAAAGGAGGAAAGAAAGAGCGGGACGTGAAGATGATGAGCCAAAGAAGAAAGAAGACAAGCAACAAAAACCTGATCTGACCAAAATCTCAGCACATCTCCCCTCGGGTTGGCAGGTATATATATTATCAAGTTCATTTGCCATTTCACTAGCGTTTTGTTTTTTGCTAAAGACATTGATCAAACTCACGTGTTCATCTCTCTCTCTCGCAGGCGTATTGGGACGAGTCTACCAAAAAAACTTACTATGGGAACACAGTTACGTCTCAAACCTCTTGGACACGACCCACAACCTGATTCTCTTTATCTGTTTTCTTCACCCAAAGTTTTGTATTACTTATATTTCTAGAATACAGTTTATTTTAGATGTTCTCATCTTTTTATGTAAATTTATTACGGAGCTCTTCTTGTTGCATGCCCCATTTCTCAAATATAAACTCTTTTATATTAGACGAGATTCGTTATCTTAGTTTCTCAATGCTCAAAATCTTACAAACTTGTACGTTCGAATTTTGAGTTCATTTATTCCGGAAGAGAACAGCTACATTTGAATATTCAGAGATTTATTTCCTTGTTATTCATTATCTTAAATTAAAGAACTACAAAGTATATCCTTTTTACCAACAGAACATAAAGAAAAGAAAAACCAAAGCCTGTCTCGTGTTTTTATATGTACTCACAAACACATTGGAGTCCAGAGGTTTTGCATTTAGAAGAAACAACATTGTAATATTTTTTGTTCTTTGGGGAAACGACTTTTTAAGACATGGTAGAGTTAGAACTAGAGCCTCCCCCTGCCAACGTGGAAAGGTTAGAGGGAACATATATGCCACGTGACATTCCGAGACTGGAGTTATGGTAACGGCACCTGAAGGAGCCAGGGTGTGTCGTTGGTGCGCATAAACAGTTTAGCCTCACACACTTGATGACTTTCCTATAACCGCCGAGCCACCACTACGACGTGCACGTTGAGACATGTTGTAAGGTTCTTGTCTTATCTTATCTTGGTCTTTCTCCTTAAGTTTTATCTTCATCATCATCATCTCCCTCTTTGCTTATTCTTTTCCTTCCTTTTTCCTTCCTTTTCTCTTTCTTTTCTACCTTCTTACAAATAGAGTAACCTCTGAAAAATAGTCGACAATGGATTTATGAAGCTTGAAGAATCTTTAGTATTAAAATTAAGTTAATGTGTAAAATTGTACATTTTTTTTTTTTTTTTGTCACTGAAAATTGTACATCTTAAAATAGTGATTTTTAGAACTACTGTTCTTAATACCCTAGAGATTCTCGTTTTCTTTGCCGTAAATAGATGTTTGCTTCCGTCAAGGAGTGATTTTACATAAAGAAAAATAAATTTCATTTTATTTTTTAACTGTTCTGGGCTTTACTGGACTTCTTTTCGGCCGTAAAAGACAAATAATTTATTGGCTCCTTAATGAATGAGATTTCTTTTTGACATTCGAACAATCAGGTCAATTTCTCCATCGCTTAGATAAAGTACAAAGTCACAATCAATTGTTACTCAAACAATTGAGTCGTGAACAAAATTACATGTAAGAGTTCCAAACAGCTCGAATTTCATACTATACTTTAGGCTAAACTTTTAAAAACATTGCGAGTACAAAACGAAACTCGAACCGAATATCCATATGGGCCAGAGGCTCGGACTCGAAGGACTCTAGATAGACCAAGCTAACAACCATCATGGCCTATTTTGACGTGTAGGGCTACGATATTACAACATTCTAACAAGTAAACCACCAAGAATTACTTCGAGGCTCGGACTCGAAGGACGTATTTCGGTTTGTATTTACTTCTAAAATGTAGCTACGACTTACGTGAACAGTTGCCACTAAAAAACCTAGTTTACACATGCACTAAAAACCTACTAATTCGACTCTAACCAGAGTTTGGAACCACAAAACCTAAAGAGATAAAGATTAGACTACCAAAAAGCTCAAATTTGAGCGCTAAATAATGATGAATTCATTTATGCAAAGATTCTTAAGCTTAGGCAGTTAAGCTAATTAGTATGATTACGCAAACTAAGCAAGGGATTGAGGTAAACTTAAATCAAGTCATTAATCATCTAACGAGAGACTATCAGCAGAGTTATTCTTATGGTAGTGACAAATAAACCAAACTCCAAATCCCAAATACGCTATAGTCTAGATAACATAAATCTAAGTCGAGAGATTAAAAAGCAACACTTAAGTTAAACAAACACACACAAACTAGAAGATGTCTAAATATGGCAATAAAAAACTTTTAGATGCTCTTCCTGCTCTTAGCAAATCCTTCCTGATGTAGCCGCTACATGAGATAACTCTAGTTTCCTCTAGAATGCAACTACGCGAATCTAGAGAATAGCGTCTACCAAAAAGGATCTGAAACGGTTCGAGCCTATCTTGCATATGGATGGTAACGACTACTGCTACTATAACCTCTACCATATGGACCAGGACCACCTGCTCCTTCGTAACTGCCACCTGGACCACCAGATTCAAATCCCCCACCATACCCTGGGCCACCACCATATCCCCCGTAGCCTTCTCCTCCTCCACGACCATATCCTCCACCATAACCACCACTACCACCTCCATACGCCTCACCACCAAACCCACTCCCATAAGGTCCAAAACGACTAGAGTAGCCAAGGGGTGGTTCACTCCTGTAACCTAAACTACCAGCCCCATAGCTACCACCATACCCTCCTCCATATTCAGGGCCTACACCTCCACGACCATACCCATACCCTGCAGCAAACCTACTAGGAGGACCTCCATGTGACCTAATTGGACCTGGAGGAGGACCGTACCCTCCATCAAAACCTCCATAAGGTGGACCGTAACCACCGCCATAACTATCGTTAAAGGAAGAACGGCCTCTAGGGTGACTACCATAAGAAGGAGGTGAACGGTTTGAAGATTTCTTTGGTTCGGCTTTCTTGATCTCCACCTACAACCAAAGCAACTTAAATTAACCTAGCTAATGCTACAGGGAGTTTCTAAGCTAACTGTCACAACCTCCTTACATCTAAAAACAAGCTAATGGGTACACTAAGTTTTAACGTGTATAGCTTAATGTTTAAAGAAGCCTAATTCAAACAAAGCTTACCTTAGTGTCAGCCATGTCGACCATGTTCCCTTTAGACAGCAACTCATCAACAACCTCCTCGCTGTCGAAAATCACAAAACCAAAACCTCTAGACCTGTTTGTTTCATGGTCTCGGATTATCTGGTGCTCCACTATAGTCCCATACTTGGCAAAAAAGTCCTTAAGCTCATCTAAACAACAACAACAACAAAAAAAAAAACAATAAGCACATATTTTTATGAGAGAAAGCAATACACTCAAAGAGGCGATTGATATACTTAGGTTCATCTAAACAACAACAAACAAACAAACAATAAGCACATATTCTAATGAGAGAAAGCAATACACTCAAAGAGGCTATTTCATATACCTTCAGTAACAGAGGAGGGTATACCACCAACAAAAATCTTCTTAGTCTTAAAATCCTTCGACTGATCACCACCACCACCACCACCTTTAGGAATCGTCCTCTTGATCTCAACCTGCTCCAAAGAATCAAGATTTAACACATGTAAGCTACTAAAACATCAGAAAACAAACCTCCTAGACATCACTACTCCCACCAAATTAATTAAACTAAATCCATGATTATACTCCCCCCCAAATTAATTAAACTAAATCCATGATTATAGACATCCCTACTCTCCCCCCAAATTAATTAAACTAAATCCATGATTATACTCTCCCCCAAATCAATTAAACTAAATCCATGATTATAGACATCCCTACTCTCCCCCCAAATTAATTAAACTAAATCCATGATTATAGACATCCCTACTCTCCCCCCCAAATTAATTAAACTAAATCCATGATTATACTCTCCCCCAAATTAATTAAACTAAATCCATGATTATAGACATCACTACTCTCCCCCAAATTAATTAAACTAAATCCATGATTATAGACATCAAGGTTATAAACACAAGTGTATGAAAGAAATGAATAAAGAGACCTGTTTGCCATTAAAAGTGTGAGTATCTTCAATAACTTGATCAACAACAGCAGGATCAGCAAACGTTATGAAACCGAAACCTCTAGGTAATCCAGTGTTTCTATCTCTCATTATCACCGAGTCTGTAATCTCTCCGTACTTTCCAAAGTGCTTATTGAACTCAGCTACAGTAATCAAGAAAATCAACAATCAAAAATCCAATCAGAATCACATAGCTAAGAAGGGAGTGGGGGAGCTTACTGTTAGTGGTGTCTTTGTGTAATCCTCCGATGAATATTTTCCTGCGCAATCCAAAAAAAACATCAAAAGTCTATTCAACGCAACGGAAAATTGAAGAGAGAGAGGTGGAGAAGGTACCCTGGGCTAGCGCCATCGCCGGATTTGAAGTTTTCGCTGCGAGATCTGGATCCCATCGTGATTTTAGGGTTTGATTTAATGAGAAGCTTTCCCGAGATGGATAATCTAGGGGTTTTTTTTTTTTGTTTGGAGGACGCGCAGCTGCTGATAGAGGAAGGAAGATCTGAAATTATCGACAACTTCTTATGTGTATATATATATATTAAATTTCTATTGACCAAAAAAAATATATATATATAAATTTTTTTAATTAAATTTCCTTTTTTGATTGGATGGTAAAATTACAAAAGATTAATTTTGTTGACAGTGGAACAGAACCTTAATTTAGCGCTTTATCAAAACCTTAATTTAGCGTTTTATCAGGATTAATTTTCGTCTTTTAATTGGGATTCTTAGAGTATGATTAATCTTTAGTTCTTAACATAAAAATGTTTAGAATTTTTTTTAACTTTTTTAATATTTCTTTCTTTAAAAAAAAAATAATCGCAAGTCATTCGATAGGGTCTACGAATAATCTAAGAACTTTGCAAGAGTTAAACATAAAAGTTGTCTCTTAAGATAATTGTGAGACCTGTAAGTTTTAATTTTTTTTTAAGAACCATAGTCTTAGCTTCGACATAAATTTTTTAACTTTTCTTAGATTTTTTATAAAAAATAAAAAACCGTCTTTTAATAAATATGTAAAAGAAAAAACAAAAAAATATCAAATTATGAATTAAAAGTTTGAGTTAAAAATTGTAGTTAATAATGTCCTTATACCAACTCGGCCCATTTTGTTGAAAAACAAAAAAACTAACTCGGCCATATCAACTTTGTTATACACTTTTCTAGTATCAAAAAGAATTTTTAACTTAAAAACCCCCCGACTAAGTTTGTTTTGGGTAAAAACCCCTAAATTAAGTATTTAATGAAAAAACCTTCAAACTAACTTTATTTAATGAATTAAACCCTCGCCGGTCATAACTACTAGTGCTACCGGTAAATCTTTAGTTTAATGGTTTTATCATTAAACATAAAAAATAAAAATAAAAATAAAAAATCAAAATATAATAACATTATCTAAAAATTCGTAATTTTAATTTTCAAAACTAGCATTTTAAAAATTTCTGTAAATATATGCGTGATTTCTTATCCTTGTAATATGGATTTTTAACTCTAAAATACCTTAATTAAGTAAACCCTATTAAAGATGATTGAAGGGTTTTTATCGTTAAAAATCTAAAACAAAAATTATAACATTATCTAAAAATTAGTAACTTAAATTTGGAAAATTAGCATTTTTCAAACTTTCTGTAAATATATGAGTTTGATTTGTTTTAACATCAACATTATATATAGAGTTATTTTCACTCTAGGGCAGTTTCAAGTTTTTTATTACAGTTTAAGGCAGTTATTGCTCTTCAGACATTTTTCTTTAACTAAGCTTAACTATAAGAATCTTCTAGTTTCATTCTACTTCTCCTTTTGTTTCTTTTTAATTAATTTATTTTTTAATTGTTTGATCTTTTACTTTTATTTTTTCCATTCACCGTAAACCATATTCTTCCTTAACAAAAATTTGAACTTGTATTTTCTTCTGACCTGCAACATCAAAACAACTTATTTTCATTGCAGTCTTCATTTCCTCTGACCAAAACTAAACGTTGCTTCTTATCTGAGTCACAGAGTAAATATCCATCAAGCTTTGATGAGTTCGATCTGGCGCGTTCATGTCCCATCTCAAATCTATACTGAAGATCAAGTCGTCCGTGTTGTAACTCTATTGCCTGTGTTCAAAAACGCGGCGGTGATGGTCGGAAATCAAGGAATAAACACTTAGCGGACATGAACAAAAAAATGTTGGTTATAATTAGTTAAAAATCGATTTAAAAAAAAAAACTTGTTTCTTTAATTGGTTTTGGTTAATCTAAACGAGGTTTGTAAGTTTTTATGTTAAAACCGCAAAGAAAATGATGATTAAGAGAAAAGAAATTGATGGCGGCTTAAACTGAAAGTTGCAGAGTTTCTGTAACCTAAAAAGAAGAAGACAATTTATTTACAAAATTGCCACTCATTAAAGACATGTTGCATAGTGGTTGTGGACTTTAACGATGTGTACACTGTTGTAGCATATCATTTTGTACACTGTTGTAACGATATTCGTGTACACCGTTGTAAATGATATTTGTGTACATCAAAGTAATGATACTTAACCCATCTTCCCGTTTACACTGTTGTAACGATATCCATGTACACCGTTGTACATGTGTACGGTAAATATGATAATTTACATATATAAAACAACCATAAATGAATCAAGCTAATACCTACCATGAATCTAGCATGAAAACACACACACACACAACACATACACTAATTAGAAACTCTTAAACAAGGTGTGAAAGATGATATATGGGTTCAGTCAGATTTGAAGGATGCCCCGACTCTGCATGTACATGGAAAGAAGGGAAAAAATTCACATATACATTGTGTTAACATTATCGTGAGTTCGTGAAGTCGTAAAAACTTAGTTATTTTGGTTGGAAACCTACAAAAACGCCAAAAATGTGTACACACTCACTTTGATGTATAAAAACGAAATTAAGTGTACACATGTACAATTTAAATGTAATGTACACACGATTGTCGACAAGAAACCCTAATCTCCGCCACTGGTTTACATGTACATATGTGTTATCTTTGTTTCTTATAGCTAAAAATCGTAAAACATACATATACAAAAAAAATTAGTCATATGTAAATAAATATTAATTACCGAAATATACACATGTACATCGATGTGTACATACAAAACGACTTATGTGTACATAAACAAAATCTCATGTTGGGTTTGAACACATGCAATCATGTACACATATACATATATATTCATGTTGTTTAATTCACGTAAACCCAACATGAGATTTCGTTTATGTACACATGAGTAGTTTTGTATGTACATATCGATGTACATGTTTATATTTCAGTATCTAATATCTATGTACATATGAGTAGTTTTTTTGTATATGTATATTTTACGATTTTTAACTCTAAGAAGCAAAGATAACACATACATACATGTAAACCAAATGTATATTTATCTAGAGTAAACAGAGGTAACACATACATATATGGATAACATACTAGTATACATCGGTGTACATGTGAGTCGTTGTACAAGTGGATAACGATATGTCTGTGTACATTTGAATCATTGTACATAGTGTAATTGTATGTACAACATGTTATGTACATATGACTTATATTTTTTAATAAAGGGTATTTTTGTAATTTTAACTTCATCTTCCCCAAAATCAATTAGGGTTTTCTGCAATTTTTCACTATGGCCGCCAGCCATTATTTCCACCTTAATCATCATTTTTTCATTTTCTTGCTTATTATACCTTTAAATCTGTAGAAATATTATCTAAGATCCAGTTTTATGCTATAAATGATTCTGTTTTTACAACAAAAACATAGATCTATTCTGTCATAACGCAAGGCATATAAGTTATGAAACTGGACAGGGAGGAAGAAGCTTGGTCGTGTTAATTCATGGCGAAGGAGAAGACAAACTGTAATAAAGTTTGGGTGAGGTTCATCGGAGTTACAGATGAGGACTTTGAAACACGGTGAAAAAGAGCTGTGACATAAAGACATAATTCACCGTTGCAATTCTTCAATTAGTTAACTGGAAAAAAATGAAATCTGAGAAAGAAGAGAAAATAAAGATTGAGGGTCTTATTAATTATATTCTAGTTATACTTTAGTTAGTAATGAATGGAGTTAGTTAAGAAAAAGTACCCTAGGAGTAGAAACTGTCTTATTCTGATATAAAAAACTCAAAACTGTCTTTGAGTGATATATTTTCTTATATATATATAGATTAAAATTTTAAAACACCAAAATATAATAAAAATCATCTAAAGATTTATTATTACAACTTTTCTTGTTTTCTTGTTTTTATATTTATAACTTTTGATAATTTTTATTCTGTTTTTTTTTATATTTATAACTTTTGATAATTTTTATTACAGGTAAATCTTTAGATAATTTTTTTTATATTTTCTTGGTTTTTACATTTTAAAATTATACATATATAATTTTGATTTCAAAAGGATAACAAATCAGACTCATATAGTTACATAATGTTTTTTTTAAAATGCAAGTTTTGAAAATTAAAAATAACGAATTTTTAGATAATGTTATTATATTTTGGATTTTATTGATTTTTATGTTTAATGATAAAACCTCTAAACTGAAGATTTACCGGTAGTACATGTAATTATGACCGGCGATGGTTTAATTCACTAAATAAAGTTAGTTTAGGGGTTTTTTCATTAAATACTTAGTTTAGGGGTTTTTACCCAAAACAAACTTAGTTGAGGGGTTTTTATGTTAAAAATCCTATCAAAAACTAATTTTTAGATTTTTCTATTGGATGCTAAACTGAAAAAAAATAATTTGTTGACAGAGTAATTTGAACCCACGCCCAAAATCGGACCAGAAAATTAATACATATATGTATAAATTAGTGACGTCAGCGTATAAGCGGTAGTTTATATACGCGCGATACACTATATAAATAGATGAAGTCTTTGCGTTCAAGTCCTCCCTCTCTCTCCTCTCTGCTTCTTCTCTCTCTACCTAACATGACGACCAACGGCGGCGATGATGTGGTCTCTAGGGTTTCGATTCCGGCTGATCTGCTGGAAACATTTCAGAGCATCAGAGAGTATACAGGGAAACAACATTCCGATGAGGATATCTTCTCTGTCTTCAAGGATTGTCTCTGTGATCCACATGAGACCGCTCAGAAACTCCTCTTTCTAGGTGTTTTTTTTTTCCCTTAGGGTTTTGTTTTCTGCTTAATTAGTTGAGTGGGCTTCGCGTAAGGTTTTAAGCTTTTGCTTTGTTGATGGTTCGACAGTGTTTTGGTGTTATGTTTGGGAAGGTAATGTAATGATCTTGTCGGGATACAGTTTGTATACAGTTAATATGCCTTGGAATGTTCAAAAGTTGGAATCTTTTTTTTACTGGTATGGAATATTCTGAGTTTGGGTTTTATATGACTTGGAACTGTTGTTTAGAATATTCACTGATTCGCTGTATAAGATGATGGAACTGTGAAAAGAGATTTTTTTTTTTTTAAGCTATGATTGTGGGATGAGTGATCTTGGTTATAAGTTTTGGATTCATAGATTATAATATGATCTTTTGAATGTGTTCAGATACTTTTCATGAGGTGAAAAGCAAACGGGAGAAAAAGAAAGAGGTAAAAGTCTTACGAATCATATATTTAGTGGATCACATCCTCTTATAACTTGCGTTATCACAATTTACGTTATCATCTGTTTGTAACTTATGGTTATTGTGTAATGCTTGTTGCAGAATTTAGTGCCACAGGCACAAGAAAAAGGCAGGAATGGTCGGAGAAACTTCGCTTCAAATTACACTGGTGATTGTAGTTTTTATTCTGTAATATATTCTCTCAAACTTGTGTGAATTTTTCCTTCTCTAAATTAAGCTCTTTGTTGATTTACAGGTGTCAATAATGGAAGAAGTGGAGCCTCTAGAAGGCAGAGTGGAGCTAATCACAGAATAAGAGGTTCCGGAGCTGCTTCGCCTGCTCCTAACAAAGCAACAAATGGCACAATACCTCCTTGTTCCATAAAGTAGTATCTCTTACCCATTCTATGTTTCTTAACAGCTCTGTTCGGATATGGGCCTCCTAAAACGTTATTCCTTTTTTTTTTGCAGAGCGTCTAACCCTGTAATTCCTCCAAGTAGAGTCAGTAATCCGGAAATTACAGAACACCCTCTCTCCAAGTTTGCTTCTTCGTCTGAGGATGTTACTGAGCTGATGAAGTCTAAAGCAAGTGAAACTGTACCTGTATCAGATTCTGTTGTACAAAACGATACTCAATATGCTGTAGATGGAACTTCTGTGAGCTCACAGCAATCATCTACTTCTTCTCAGCAATCAGCCACTTCTAATTGCGGTAATCAGTCAGATCAAGGTATGGTTGCTCTTCATCTCTGTTGCTTTAAGTCCATTATGTGTTCTTCTAGTCAAGCAGTTAATGGTTCAGATTGTTTCCTGAGTTCGGCTACAGTCTCTTATTTGATTCGACCTTTGTTTTTTTTTCCTTTCTTTGGAACAGTCACTAGGAGTGAGGCTGCAACTCATAAAGGCAATAGTCAACCGCTTCTCAAGTCAGATGTTGGTGAACGGCCCCATGTAACGTTTCCCGTCCACCTTCAGGTAGCCAAAATGCTAGAAAATGGTCTGACGTTTGGGAGCTTCGATTCTGAATTTGTGAAAGAGACATCTTGTGATAATATTACTTTTGGGTGTGATGTCACCACTATCAAGTCTTCTCATGGGGCTTCAGCTAGGTCGGTGAATGATAGCTACTTTAAGAAAATCTTACATTGTTGATTGCTTCAAATCTTATAATTTGCTCAATAGTCTCAGATGAGTGAATCTTCATATGAAATGGGTGTTTCAATACAATAATTTGGTTTGCAGGAAAGATGTATCAACTTTTTCTCAAGATAAGGATCATGAGATTTCAAATTCAGCACCTGAGACCGAGCTTGCGTTGCAGTCAGATCAAACTGTTCAACTTGTAGAAGGTTCTGAAGTAGATAAACTGAACGAGGAGTCTTCACCAATCAAAGACACTCATCAGGTCGGTTATGTTCAATAGGCTCCATACAATGTCCGCATGAGGGTAACCTCACTTTCTAGAATATTTGAATACAATGCTTAATCACTGACTTTTATATATTATTGATAATTGCAGACTGTAAATTGTGATGTTCCACCTATCTCCTATCCTGATCAGTATTCCCTAGCAGCTTCCCAACAGGCAATGCACCTTTACAGACAACAATACCCTCTAAACGTTCTCCCTTACGGTCTCTATTACCCACCCTTTTATATGCCGCAACAATACATCCACCAGTTCTTGCCCTCAAACGGGTTCCAACAACAGTCTTGCTTACATCCTCAAGATGATACTTCAGTACCTCCTGGAGATAAACTCCATCTCCCACAGATCAAATCAGGAGCCAACACTGGAAACTCTGAACCTACCACATTTCCATCACCATATGATTCATACGCAGCTGCGTTTAACCACACCCAATCACCAGCCACCGTAAACTCTGTCCACAAGGAAGAAAAGAAGGAAGACAATTACACAACCGTACCACTGGTTAGTTTTTCCCTGCCTCTCCTCTCTCACTCATTGTGTGTTATGATATACGTTAACATAGTTTTCCATGTGTGCAGAGTCTAGCTAACCTGCAGGCCAGTGCCATGTACAACTTATCCCTTCAGGGCCAGCCATTAGTTTTCCCAACCTTGCAGGCTGGGTTCACTGGAATGTACCAACAAACAAGGCCTATACTACCGTCTCCAACTATATCTTCAATGAACGAACAACCCATAGGACTCCCGCTCATAACTAATCAGCAACTTCAAGCTGAGCCCACGAATCTGGGTAACAACTACTAGGTCAAGAAGAGTGACTATGAAGTTACATATCAGATGGTAAGAAGAGACATTCAAGTGGATGTTTGAGTGATTTTTTTCGTATATACTTAGGAAACATCACTTCAAGAGGAAGTTAGTGTGTGACAAGAGAGTGAAATGGTGTGGTGTCTTGGTTCTTTTGTAGACATCCATGTGTAGTACTTTCTGAAATTGATGTCTAGTTCATTTGTAATTCTCCAGAATTTTACAAATACAAAGAAGTTATTACGTTATCTGAGCATGTACACTCTCATTCATGACTCTGGCTTGCCTACACCATAACAATGGAAGCCAAGTAATTAAATTTGATATTTCATTTTCTTGTGCAAGTCAACACAGGCCTAAACTACAAAACTCAATTCCATTAAATTAAAAAAACATTGAAAGAATGTGTTCTACCAAACTAACACCATGTTAAAAGGAAAGAAAAAGAGAACACAAAAAGTAAGAAAGTTTCAGGTTTGACACAGTTGATCCACACACTTCTTCCATTATATAACATAGCCCTACCTTAAGAACAACTCCTTGCATCACAAGACTTAACAAAAATAAAAATGGAGATCAAAAGATCTACAGAAGAACTTGAAGATAATCATGTAATGCAGATTTCAGGAAGCAATGGAATAGTTCACAACATGGAGTTCATGTCCCAAGCTTACCTCAGAAACCAATACTCATCTGAAATTGACATCCATGAAGAATTCGTTTCTTCTTATCCTCATGAAGATGCACCTCTTCCCATCTTCCTCAAGGTTGCTCCATCTCTCTCTTTTTGCTTTCTGTTTCACTCTACAGACAGACTCATTGGCTCTTAATCTGCAGTTTGAAGATGTGGAGTATAAAGTGAGAAACATCCAAGCTAGCTTGAAAACAATGGTGTCAAAGGTAGTGACACACACTAATCCGGATCAAGATGGGTACAAGCACATTTTGAAAGGTATAACAGGAAGCACAGGTCCAGGCGAAATCCTTGCACTAATGGGTCCTTCTGGTAGTGGAAAAACCACTCTCTTGAAGATTATGGGAGGAAGATTGACTGATAATGTCAAAGGGAAGCTTACCTACAACGACATTCCTTACAGCCCATCTGTTAAGAGGAGGTTAGATATGTGACACATGCATGAAAAAGTTAAATAGTTTCTCAATATACGCTCAACTGTTTATCATTTTTCAGAATTGGGTTTGTGACACAAGACGATGTTCTGCTGCCACAACTTACTGTGGAAGAGACATTGGCATTTGCTGCGTTTCTGAGACTCCCAAGTAACATGAGTAAGGAACAGAAGTACGCTAAAGTGGAGATGATCATCAAAGAGCTTGGCCTTGAAAGGTACATTTTCTTTAAACAGACGCATTTCTTGTAAACACTAAACTGAATTTTACTGGAAACAACCCTTGAAAGATGCCGTCACACAAGAGTTGGAGGAGGTTTTGTGAAGGGAATATCAGGTGGAGAAAGAAAAAGAACGAGTATAGCATACGAGATTCTCGTAGATCCTTCCTTGTTGCTTCTGGACGAGCCAACCTCTGGACTTGACTCCACTTCTGCCACCAAGCTTCTTCATATTCTGCAAGGGGTAGCCAAGGTGACATCATATTTTCTACCTGTAGACAGATATAGAAGCATAAGATATTATTTTTGTTTTGCAGGCAGGAAGGACAGTCATTACAACAATTCACCAACCGTCAAGCAGAATGTTTCACATGTTTGACAAGCTCCTACTGATCTCAGAAGGCCACCCTGCATACTACGGCAAAGCCAGAGAAGCTATGGAGTACTTCTCATCTTTGAGAATCTTACCTGAGATTGCAATGAACCCAGCAGAGTTTTTGTTGGACTTGGCAACAGGACAGGTGTCAGACATTAGCCTCCCTGAAGAGCTATTGGCTACCAACACCACCCAGCCTGATTCTGAGAACGTTGTTGTGAAAGTAAGGATGAAGGATGAGATAAAGTTATAAGACTATACAACTTGTGTATTTAATGAGACTCGGTTCTTTTGTTATATTTGCAGTACCTGCAACTAAGGTATAAAACAGACTTGGAGCCAAAAGAGAAGGAAGAAAACCATAGAAATAGAAAGGCTCCAGAGCATCTTCAAATAGCAATCCAAGTGAAGAAGGACTGGACGCTTTCATGGTGGGATCAGTTCATGATTATATTCAGAAGAACATTCAGAGAAAGGCGTAGAGATTACTTTGATATGCTAAGGCTAGTTCAGTCACTTGGTGTGGCTGTTGTGTTGGGTCTTCTCTGGTGGAAATCAAAGACAGACACAGAGGCGCATCTTAGAGACCAAGTAGTGCAATTAAATTAAATATTGCGTTTATGCCAAAGTTACAAGCCTCCTGATTATTTGGTACGCTTGTACTGCAGGTTGGTTTGATGTTCTATATATGCATCTTCTGGACATCTTCATCATTATTTGGAGCAGTGTATGTGTTCCCCTTCGAGAAGATATACCTGGTGAAAGAAAGAAAAGCAGACATGTACAGGCTAAGTGTATACTACGTATGCAGCACACTGTGTGATATGGTGGCACACGTTTTGTACCCTACATTCTTTATGATCATTGTCTACTTCATGGCTGGGTTCAGTAGGACAGTCCCCTGCTTCGTTTTCACCGTGTTGACAATACTACTTATAGCCATAACTAGCCAAGTAAGCATAACAAAGCTTGAGAACTTCTCTCAGTTTTCGAGACTGAAACATATGTTCATTCCAATGTAACCACAGGGTGCAGGAGAGTTCTTAGGAGCTTCGGTGTTGAGCATTAAGAGAGCTGGTATGATCGCCTCTTTGGTACTAATGATGTTTCTTCTAACAGGAGGTTACTATGTTCAGGTTGGGTGGCTTACTCTTTTCTAATGAATCATAACTACATGCTGTTTCGAAAATATAACTGCTTGATGCACCTTGCAGCACATACCCAAGTTCATGCAGTGGCTTAAGTACTTGTCCTTCATGCACTACGGCTTCAGGCTGCTTTTGAAAGTTCAGTACTCAGGGGACCAAGTTTTTGATTGTGCGAGTAAAGGCGGCTGCAGGACACTGCAGAGCTCATCATCATTCGACACAGTCAATTTGAGTGGTGGTCTAGAAGAATTGTGGGTTCTGCTTGCCATGGCATTTGGCTACCGCCTTTGCACATACTTCTGCCTTCGCAAGAAAATCAGCATTTGCCATCTTTGATAAGACTGTGAGAACGGAAAAAGACCAAAATACATATATTAACACACAGATCAGAGATTACTCCATCAGACTATATATTTCCAGTTTTGTAAGTGTCAGTGATGAATAAGAATTTAGTAGAAATCTGAGAAAATAGTATTAGAGTCAAGTGCACAAGCTTTTGATATAAACCATAAAACAATTGTTTGGTTGGCTTCGGTATCAGTACAAGGGACATCATAAATCCAAGAGAATATAAAGCCTTTGTTCATTCATCTCATAGAGACAAGTAACAAAGAACACTCGTGTTCAATCACTTCATGTATCTGTGTAGGAACTTCCTGTGGAAGTCATTCCTGATTGTATCATTGATGAAGCGCTTTGGTGCTTTCATTTCCCCACGTGCCTGATTCTTGAATACCACATCATCATCCCACCTGAAATGATGAAAATAAAATGTTTAGTATCTGTGCCCAGCAATTAATATAGTCCCAAGATTCATAAAGAAACATGACTTCAAAAGATGCGAACCTTCTTTTGACACTAAACGAAGTGGGAGCGGTGTTAAGCAGTGGGTTTCCTTTGAGAAGCTCCTCTTCTTTGGCATTTAGCTCTTCCATCTGCTGCTGCTTTTCCTGGAAATAATGTAAATAATACATATTAAGACAAACCTACTCATTTTGTCATAGTAATCTGAGAAAAATCATCTCACAGAGATGACCACATACCTTCCTGAGCCTCTCCTCAACTCTTTCTTTCTTTATCTGATCAAGTTCAGCCATAAGAGCTTCAGTGTCATCCTCATCATCGTCACTTTCTTCATCACTAACAAAGACAAACAGATCGTAAAATAACTCAAAGGAAATAGCAAGTCTCAGTTGACATAAGTCATCAAAAACTCTCGAAAAAAAGAACCATTCCCCCTAAAATCTAGCACAAAATCAACTGCATATTCCCAAACCATGGCTCAGATGAAAAAGCATTGAGTACATCCCTAGCATTAATACTCTTTAGCCAAATTTAAAGCACAAAGAAAAAAGAACTGCAAGAGGAAGAAATTGTACCTATCATCATAATCACTTTTGATATCAACATCAGAATCATCAGCATCTACACTGCGAGGAACAATCCGATCTTCAGGATCCCTTTTAGAACCTAAACTCAGGATACCAAAGTTAGTAAACATATGACATTCTGTGACATATAATCAAAATGAAAAAAGTGACTTTCACTAACCTTCTAGTAATAACTGATTCCCTCTCCTGCGCTCTCTATCATCTAATAACAAAAAAAAAAGTGAAATAAAGGAAGAAACTTTACCAAAATCATAGTGAAAAAGGCTTGAACTTTATTACCACTGTAAGATTTGTCTTTGGAAGAGAAGTGAATCCTCTCACGCTCCTCAAGCTCATCACGAAGATTCTTCTTCTCCACTTCCTCTTTAGTGTGTTGTCCTTCCCTCCTGCCCAAACCAAAACAATACGCATTAGTATCTTCCAAACTCTCAAATTAATAGCCCTAGAAAGATCAAATCTTTAACCCTAATCTCAATCAATCAAAAAGATGAAATTCGAATTGAATTCAACATGTAATTGGATTGAATTGAAGGAAAAGGAGGCAGATTTGGAAAAAAAAAAATATAACCTTGGTTTTAGAGTTGTGTGAGCTGCGACGTCACGAGATGAATACTTCTGAGATGCGCCGAAGATTCGAGCACCGCCTTGCTCGTTACCTCCTTTGGCTGGAGCCCATGTTGGTCTAGCTGCAGTCGTCATCTTCGGAGAATAACCCTAATTTCCCAATTCAAGGAGACGATCCAACCAAATTCGAGAGGGAGAGAGAAAGAGAGAGAATAAAAAGTTTTCGATTAATCGCTTTTTAGAGAGGTGTATATTGAAACCCGGAACCGACCCGGAATAACCGACTCGGAACTATTACGTATTGAACCGAGCTACTTAACCAAACCACTAAACCGTATATTTCCAAACACTATAAACCAATAGGAACCGGTAGAAACCGATCCGATCCGAAACAAAACAAACTCTAGCGGGTATTAAACAGGCCTAAAATCAAATATTCGGATTCGATAGTAATAATGTTAGGCCCAAATGACGTTTTTGCCCCTAGAATTAGAATTCAAACCCTCTCCTTGATAGAGAAGGAAAAATACGATAATGTTTCAAAACTGGACAACAGGTTTTGGCTTAAGCTTCCCAGCAGTGAAACTAGCTAGATAGAGAAATAGAGAGAGAGAGAATCCATGGCGCAACTGCTCTCCTTTCGAGTTTATCTCTCTGCTGAAACACAGAAAGCTTCTTCAGAGTCGTTTAAGCGAACCCAAAGCTCTCGCAAACCGTTTAAACCTGGTCAGAGAGGTAAAACTGTTATCTCTTGTTTCTGTAAGAAAAAAAAAAAACAGAGCATTAATCTCTATGCTTTTACTCGAAAATGTCTTAATATTGTAGGTCCGGTGAATCCAGTGAGGAAACCTCAGAATCTGAATCTGGAAGTTTCTCCACATAGAGCTGGTAAAAGACTAATCCTTTTCTTTTCTATTTTTCTTAATAAAGAAAAAAAGAGTAATCCTTTTCTTTAGCTTACATTGGTTGAGTAGCAAGTAAGTGGTAGTATAGTAGTCTTATAGAGTCTTTGTGCATCTTATAAAAAGTTTATATTTTTCAACTGATACAGTATCTGCGGTCAGATTGATGAGAATTGAGTTTGGTGGTGCGTTTGCTGATCTTTTGAATGAGAAAGGCAAAGGTTCTGGGAGTAATGAGATGAGTTACGTTGAAAGAACAATTGGTTTTCGGACACGTGATTTGGATGACAGGGATCTTAGACTGGTTAGTATGTGTTTAACACCATTCAGTATAAAAAACGTCAAGAGCTGTGGTTTACTAATGGTTAGTTATCTTGCAAACAAGTAGGTTACTGATGTTGTTGGAGGAACTATACGGTGGAGAAGGTACCTTGATCATTTGATTGGTTCCCTTTGCCACAATGAAAGGACGTTTCGTAATATGGAACCTCTTCTCTTGCAGGTATACATTCCCTTTTTGTTGCAGTCTGCAAGCAATATGGTCAAGCTTAGTTTTAAACTTTGCTCTTTGTTGTAGATTCTCCGCATTGGTTTCTATGAGATCATTAAGCTTGACATGCCAGCATATGCTGTTGTAGATGAGGTATATAACCGAGTTCTTAATGCTTAGTGAGTTCAAGGCTTTTCACTGATAGTCTTACTTGTAGAATGTAAGGCTTGCAAAGATTGCACTTAGACCTGGTGCAGGAGATCTTGTCAATGGGATTCTTCGTAAGCTAGTCACTCTTAAGGTTTCTCTTTCTTATCTCCTTTTTCAAACTTTTCTCTTCGCTCGAGAGCTTATACAAAGAAAAGCTTATAATGAATTCTGACGTAGGTGTCTGCAGGAAAAAGATGCTCTTCCATTACCCAAAGTGGAAGGGGATGATCGTGCACAAGCACGTGCACTTGCTACACTTCATTCACACCCCGTTGTAAGTTCCCTACAGCTATAACCTCATCTTTTCTTTCGTTTTTAATAGAAAGCTAGAGCTATGTGATTGTGTGTTAAATCGAAACTTTAAATGCATTTTTTCTTCCTTTCCTTACTAGTGGATGGTTAGGCGATGGGTAAAGTATCTTGGGTTGGATGAAGCCACTAAGCTGATGACATGGAACAACACTGATCCTGGATTTAGCTTAAGGTTTTGTCTCCAGAATTTATTTTGCTTTTACAGAAGGAAAGAAAGGTTATCAACCGTCATGCTTATAATTGTCTTTCTGATGATATCAGGGCCAATATGGGAAGGGATATTACAAGATCAGAACTTGTGGAGCGTCTAAACAGTTTAAAGGTACTTCGTTCGTATAGTCGTCGTGTTATTGTGTAAAAAGGCACATGATTGCCTGTATTAAATATTTAGTTTCTTACTTCGGTTGTGCTTTTCCTTTGCTGCAGGTTCCACACGAACTGTCCTTACACTTGGAGGAGTTTGTCCGCATCAAAACAGGATTACAGGTGTTTATAATGTCACCGTTAATTATTCTTTTGGCTTCATTTCTAGCTTTCTATAAGTTTCATTTAGACATTTTCTTTGCAGATGGTTGTGCAAGCTGGCTTACTCAAAGAAGGCATATGTTCTGTTCAGGATGAGAGTGCAGGTTAGTTTTGCTTTCACAACTGTTTAAACTGCTCCTATGAAAAATACTTTCTCCTTTTCATAAATTATTCGTATTGTACTGCAGGACTAGTAGTCTCAGTGGTGGAACCTCAGCCAGGAGATAGAATCCTGGACGCATGCGCTGCTCCTGGAGGGAAAACCCTTTTCATGGCATCTTGCTTGAAACGCCAAGGTAATCTTACAGAGGCTTAACTGTCCTAATATTCTTGCCTTTATTGTACATCCATCAAGTATGTGTTGTGGTCTACTTGACTGATTCAAACTGGCAAACTCACGCCGATTATAGGTATGATTTATGCTATGGATGTAAATGAAGGACGGCTAAGAATTCTTGGGGAGACAGCAAAATCACACCAAGTTGATGGACTTATCACAACCATTCATTCTGATCTTCGTGTCTTCGCTGTGAGTTAATACTATTTGAGTAACTGAGCTTTACAACTGTGTAAGCTACTCACAAACTCACATGTGTTTTAGGAAACCAAAGAGGTACAATATGATAAAGTGTTGCTTGATGCCCCGTGTTCTGGACTCGGTGTCCTCTCCAAGGTTAACATGAGCAATTTTGATCAAACTGCTTTCTAATAGTTAAATAGCTTACCTCGTTTGATTAACATGTTTCTTCTCTCTCTCTGTGTTTGTAGAGAGCGGATTTACGCTGGAACCGTAAATTGGAGGACATGGAAGAACTCACAAAACTACAGGATGAGCTTCTTGATTCTGCTTCCAAGTATGCACACACCCTGTACATAAATTTTAATTGGTCACTGCCTCACTGGACCTTACTAATACTTTTCTCTTTGTCTTAAAATAAAATCTCAAAGACTGGTGAAGCCAGGTGGGTTCTTGATATACAGTACTTGCTCGATAGACCCTGAAGAAAATCAAGGAAGAGTCGAAGCGTTTCTCCTACGACATCCTGTAAGAATCTTTATAGTCCCTTTTGCTTTAGTTTAAAAGTCGTTATTAACAAGTTCTCTCTATGCTTGCGTCCACAGGAGTTTTCTGTAGATCCAGTAGACAGATTAGTACCATCAAGTTTTGTAACGTCCCAAGGCTTCTTTTTATCCAACCCAGTGAAACACTCCTTAGATGGTGCATTTGCAGCTCGTCTGGTTCGAGCCTTATAATGTAAAAGTCAAGCTTCTCAAGATCATCTTGATGAAAGAGAGAGTTAGGGTACCATCTGTATCTCTGGTGAGAGCAAAGAAGGTATGGAAAGACCTTTTTGTTCAAAGATGTTATGGGAGATCTTGTAAAACTTTGTAGAGATGCTGCACTAGTTGATCACTTGATTGTGTGTTGGTAAGTATGTAGACATCACGCTGTTTTGAACTGTATAAAGAAAATGCATTACCGTTAAGCGATCTACAAACGGCGTGTCGTGTAGTTGGCATAAGTGTAATATATCATAGTTTAGTCGGCCTAGATATAAAGTCGATAAAAAATCATGCAAGGCACGGACAAAACTATATTGAAATGAAATGTCATTCACTAATCACTATGTTATCTTGTACGATTTACTATTTATGTCAGAAAATATCACATTCTTTGACTTTTTACGACATTTTCATCATTTTGTTTTCAATAAACTGTATCAGAAAAGAAACTACACAAATATCTTTTAAGGAAAATCAAATATTGACAATCACTAAACAACATAGTCCTCAATAATATCTACTCTATTAAAATAGAGTTATTCTTTTTATCTACAGATACAAGTTGTCATTTAAATTTGCACCCTTTCTAAAATGTTATAAATAATATAAGTCATATAATTGATTGAACAATATTAATTAAATTAAACCAACACAATTAATATGAAGAGACGACCTTAATGTAAACTATCTTCAAAATACGGCATGTATCTATGTGTATACCGAAAACACATATTTTCTTACAAATATGAAATGTTCTAAAAGAATATATATCATCAAAATATGGAATATAGAAATCTACTAATTATACTTAAACTAAACCAGTGGTTATTTATGAAATATATTCTTGGGTTTACTTTTATCTTTTAAACAAATTATATAGTTTGGTTTTCGGGTTTAGTATTAAGAAAAAAACTCCAAAACATTGAATAAACTTTTCACCGTAAAATATCAAAAAATAAATTATTATTTTCACACCCAAAAGGTATTTAATATTTTTAACAAAAAAAAATTATCTATTATTAATCATTTATTTAAATCATGTACTTTGAAACATGTTAATATATTTTTTATTTTAAATAACAGTCACTTTGTTTTGAAAAATTTCAATGGTAACTTTTAAATAATTTATTATTTTATTTTTCTTAAATAATTTACTGATTAAAAAAATGTAAGCAAAACCAAAAACCAAATCTAAAAACTAAAATCCAAAACCAAAAGCAAAAGCTGAAAACACATGTTATATTTTTGCTTTGTTTATTTACAAAAGAAACTATTTAAATTTTTTTTAAAAAAATTTGTTATCATCTTTTCAGTTTTAAATTCGATGTTCGATTATTTGAGATTTGTTTGTTGGTAATATTAGTTCAAACTAACTCAGCAGGTTTAAAAATTACAAAACCAAACCAAAAACTGAAAATGAAAAGTCGAAACTTAAAAACTAAAAACCAAAAACCAAAATCTAAAAATAAAAACTGAAACGAAAAACTAATGAAAAACAATCATCACCACAAATTTTGGTGAACTGATTTTATATCAAAATATTCTTAAATTAAGACAAAATCCAATTATATAAATATTTAATCATAAAAAATTTTCGCACGGGTCAAAATCTAGTATTTATTTAAAACAAAACGAATTGATATTCTAAAAAATTCCGCTCTTCAATTTAACTATAGCACTAATTAAAACTAAATAAAATTCAACTTGACGTTTTCCTTGTCAGCAGGAGAATATTTCCTATTTCTTTACGTTAACAGACACAAAAGAGAGAAGTATCATATGAGAATATTGCTTACCTCTCTCTTACATATCTATCTCTTCTCTCTCTCTAGCAAACAAAAGTTAGAGATCTTGCTTACCTCTCTCTCTCTATTGTGGTTAGCAAACAAAAGTCAACAGATCTTTGATGGAGTTCCTAGAGAAGCTCATAAAGTTCAAGTTCCACATCATCTCCGCCTTGGTTCTGTCTCTCCTCACTGTCTCACTTGTCACATATTCTCCAGGTTTCCTCACCGTTTTATCTTACTTCTGGACACTATTTCTCTCCACCGCTCTCTTCCTCGCCGCAGTTTTCTTCTTTGCTCGGACCTCCGACCTGCCGACATCCTCTTCCATCTCCAGCGATGGCTCTGGCGTGAAGTTAGCGGCTGAGGGGATTCTTGATTATGTCGTTGGCGGACAACATGAAGAAACTGTTCTTGATAGCTTCACTAAACTAGACTAGTATGAGATCTCTTTGTCTTTTTAAGTATTTTTCGTTAGATTATGATTAATAATAGAGAATATTTATAAATTGTAATACTAGTGGTTAACGTTGGAAAATAAGAATAAAATCTTTCTTTATACTAGTTTTGTGATTCCTTCAGTGTATGTATATGGTTGCTGCTTTTTAGGCGCGAAGCTTTTTCTGGATCTCTAGGTTCTATCACTTGTTTTATATACGTTATAGTACATTAATATGATTTATTTTCAAAATCAATCGATTTATTTGTTTTAAAAGGGCGAATGATCCAGAAATGAGTGCTTTTACTTTATTTTTAAAATCTAGAATCCACCACCGACGCGACATTTTGTTCATATGTTTCATTTATGTTATCGTCATTGGTGTATTTTAGTTTGAAAACCACATGATATGCCTCTTTTATATCAGCTCATTGTTGTTTTGTATTTGATTATTTGGTTATCAGATGATAAACCACATGAACGTAGTATTTTGTAAGGTAGATTGACTAGATTCTATAGGGGAGATCTATCAGAGAGAAGAAAAGGTTAAATAATTGTATAGCATAGATTCATGCATTTTGATAATGTTACTCACGTGCCTAAGCATATAATGGAGGTATTAATGGGAGTTAGATTTATATAGAATTTGTTGCTTTTAGAAGTTGAAATTTTTATTAAATTTTATAAGAGTTATAGAAACTTTTGTATATAGTAAAATTATGTGAAAACAAATTGATATAATAATTCTAAGAATCCATTCTTAGCAAAAAAAAAAAAATTCTAAGAATCCAAAGTATATAGATATTATTTTCAAAATCTTGTGGTGTGAGAGTAGCATGGGTGTGATAGTGAAGAATAACGTCAATTTTAATTGGTTTAAAGATTTATTAAAATTTATTTTTTTTGAATAATCAAAGATTGTATATAGAATTAATCTATACTATTAAAGCTGAAGTACAAAAATAAAGTGTTTGGAAACATGAATAAGAAAATTTTAAAAGTTTGATTGGAAACATGGATATCATACAAATTTAATGGGCTTATTTATTATACTAAAGATTATTGTGGCCCAAGGTACCATTATTATTGTTTTTGGATTTTCTATCATTGATATTACTTTACTTCTAAAAATTATTTATACATATATGTATTCATGTTTTAAATGTATTTAGAATAAATCAAGAATAATATATATTTTATTTATATAATTTATATTGACTATTCTTATAAGTTTTTAACAGTGATATACTAGCCTTCCAATTCTT